GATGGTGGTGGCGATGATGACGGTGACGACGGCAAGGCCAACGATGGCGCCGATGTTGGCAACCACGATGACGATGATGAGATCCATGCCCCAGTGATAAAGGAAGTAATTGACTGATGATGGCAGCAGTGGCGGCGTTTGGCGATGACGATAACAGCGGTGGTGTGGTGGCGTCGCTGATGAACGCGAGCGTGCGGCAATGTACCAGACCCGCCACTGTGTTGTTGAAGAGCAGAAGTGTTTCTTAAGGTGGGATATATATATATATATATATATATATATATATATATGGAAATGTTTCGAACAACAGTGGTTTTTCAGAAGGGTCTCGACGCGCGCCTGGCGGTGCGCGCGTGTGGCCCGCATGGTGTTGTGTGATATGAATTCGCACGATGGGCGCATGCCAGATAAACGCGCCTGCGCCGCGTAGCGGGATGAGAATGCGGCTCCTTGACGGGATTGTTGACAACGCGTGTTTCTCTCAAGGTTTCAGTAAATGTGCGCGATCCCAAATTCTGCCAGACTTGCGACGGGAAGCCGGGTGGCCTTCGATGGTTTGATATTGGCATGTTTGCACAGCCCATGTGCCCGGTGTGATTGGGAAGGCTTTAAGGCCGGTGCCGCCGCCGACTCTGAAGGGGGACGACGATGATGACAGCGGCGGCGGCGGCGACGACGACGACGGCGACCACGCTGACGCTCTGGAGCCCTTGGGCTTAATTGGGGGACCACCCCCTGTCCCCTCTTCCACAGGGGGGACCGCCCAGGGGGAGGGTCACGGCAGTAGTCTATACCCCAGTTGGATGGACTATACCCCGGTTGGACGGGCTACCCCGGTTGATCGAGGGACACTTTTCTGGAATGTAAGTTTCGGAAGATTTTCCGCAAGCGATTTCGATTGTAAGCCATTCTCAGAAAGTCTGGAGTGCCAGTTTCTTGGGGAAAACCACTGGGGGACAACCCATCCGCAGTAATTGGATTCTGAACGGGCAGCTCATATGTGAACCGTATACTCATAGGTTTGAGTAAACGTATGCGAATCCTATCAGAAACGTGTGCGAATCCTATGTGAACCGCACACGAATCCAGTGTGAACCGTATCCAACTCCGGCGTGGATCCTTTTACGGTTCCTGTGGGAATCGGGCAGGGATCCTGCGTGCATATCATACGAACCCGATGTTTAGATGCTCGTTTCGGCGACCCTTCCTGGGGCCCACCGAGCGGATCTGCTCCACCCCACTTCGACTCAAGTTCGGCTCGGGTTCGACTCGGGTTCGACTCGGGTTCGACTCGAGATCGGCTCGAGTCGACGGACCTTCGACGCGGTTTCGACGCACGAGTGGAGCGAGTGGCTCCAGAACGGTCCCCAGAATGATCAGCCAACGCTGTGAATCGCATGCGATGCCCGAGGCGGCCGCGGGCGGCGACCGGGCGCAGCCTCGAACGCCCCGCCCAGCGCACGGGGCGCCCGCGCGGCGCACCCCCTGGATCAGGAGGGAAAAAAACACACAGACACAATTGATCCTCGATTCCCAGGAAAATATGGGAAAATATGGGAATTGGGGGAGAAGACAAAAACCCAGAAAATATGGGAAAATATGGGGACTAATTTTATTTGTGTGTATTTATTTGTGTGTCCTAATTTCCCTTTACTGGAGCGCCACGTGGCGAAGCCTTGACGCACCGACCCGGCCACGCAGCGGCCACGGGCGGCAGCGCGGCGAGCTCTTCGCCCACCCGGCGCGGCGCGCGAGGCGGCCACGGGAAAGCGACGGAAGCCTCGTCGGGGACCTGCTCGGCGCACGAGGAGCTTGGCATCGCTCGGACGTGTGCGTTTTTTTCTCAGGAGGGAAAAAACACACAGACACAATTAATCGTCGATTTCCAGGAAAATATGGGAAAATATGGGAAGTGGGGGGGAAGACAAAAACCCAGAAAATATGGGAAAATATGGGGAATCTTTTTATTTGTGTGTATTTATTTGTGTGTCCCAGTTTCCCTTCATTTTTCATCGACGAGGACCATCGAGGAGCATCCTTGATCACCTGGCGAAAGAGCCACGCACGAGACCGAAAAAAAGCACAGGGAATGGACGTCCGAGCGATGGCCAGGGAGGCCACAGGCGGCAGCGCGGCAGAGCCTCGCGGGGCCAACCCGGCGCACGGGTCGCCCACGAGGCACCCACGGGCGGCGACGCGGCGGAACGTCGCCCGGCCCGCCCAGCGCACGAGGCGGCCGCGAGGAGGCCACGAGGCGGCAACGTGGCGAGGCCTCGCTGGGCCCATCTTGTGCGTAAAAGTCCTTACGCGGAGGGGGGGCGCGCCACTCGCAGTCCATCATCGAGGGAGAGAGGAAGAGGAGGGAGCATGAGGAGGAAACATGAGGAAACGAGAGAGGAGGAAGAGTGTGGATGAAGAGTAGGAGGAGGAGAGAGAAGAATGATGACGACGAGGAGTGGGCGTGCAAGAGAAGGGCGAGAACGCATCGGTGGTGTCCAAGAGGGGGAAGGGCGAAGTGTTCGTTGGTTCTCGGAGGTTGTCTCGCATCGGGATGCTCCCAGCAGCGGCGCCAGGCCAAGAAATCTCTGGGGATACTCGGATCGTCCCGAACGGTCACCAGAGACCCGAGCTATGACCCAAAAACCACCAGGCGTCGAAGAGGGGGGTGAGGACTAGGGGGGGGGGGAGATCACGGCCAGGGCCGCAAGATCTCCCCACATGCCAGGCCCCCTCCTTCCATTCCAGTGCGTCCCTTGGTCCCTCCTGACCCGCGCACATGCCTCGGGCAGTGATTTGCTACCACGTCTCTTGGACGCCGCCCTGCTGGGGTCCCCCGATCCTTGGTTCGAGAGTCAGCGTCGTGAACGGGGCTGCCCGCTGGACTGACTCAGGATATTGTCACTGGAGCTTCGCATGCGTGCGTTTTTCACTGGAATTCGAACCTCCAAGTTCTCCCCATCTGGCGCCAGGGACCGCTCTCGAGCTCGAGATCTGCTTCTTCGGCTGTACATGTTCTCGGCTGTAAAGACAGCGCATCTAGCCAGCTCTGATGCCGATTGTCACAAGACGGCCAGCACCCTGGCCAAACTGATGTTCGCGGGTCGGTCATTGCTTGGTTGTTGTTTTCATTCCGCGCTGCAACAAACAGGGAATCATCGCCCACATAGAGATTTCATCTTGAGGCTCAAGACTCGGGCGATAATCCGGATCATCAGGCCCGCCACCTTCCCCCACCTCTGGATGTTTTGACTTTGTCGGTTGCGCCAGCCCGAAGTGGGCACGCAGCATTGGTGCGCGCAGGCATGCGCGGGGCAACTCCCCCCTCCCCCCCACCGGATAGCTCGGGCGATCGCCGAGCCATGAAAAGAGACGATCTCATGGGCGTATCATCATCACCATCGTCATCATGATCGTCACCCCCGTTCTCCTCCCCCATACGGAGGTCTCCAGAGGCTTCCAGAGACTCGGGCAGAAGGGGGAGGGGAGTGCCACAGGGTACCGATCCTCGAGCGGCCCGGGGGCACAGGCGGACGGGGTTGGCTTGCGACAGGACGAGAGGGAGAGCGAGAGAGGATGACGAGGGCGAGGGCGGGGGCAGGGGAGGAAGAGGAGGAGGAGGAGAATATGGGGAGGGATGATGATAATGATGATGCTGATGATGCTGATGGTGCTGGTGATGATGATACTGAGTTTGCTGATGATGGTGATGTGATGGTCATGATGCTGATGATGATGATGATGATGATGATGATGATGATGATGATGATGATGATGATGATGATGCGGATGATGATATGATGATGATGATGATGATGATGATGATGATGATGATGATGATGATGATGATGATGATGATGATGGCGATGCTGCTGATGATGATGGTGACGATGATGATGATGGTGGTGGTGGTGATACTGATGATCCTGATGATGGTGATGAAGATTATGATGATGATGATGATGATGATGATGATGATGGTGATGATGATGATGATGATGATGACGCTGATGATGATGCAAATGAAGATCGTGATGCTGATTATGCTGATGAGGATGCGGATGATGATGATGATGATGATTATGATGTTGAAGATGAAGATGAAGATGAAGATGATGATGGCGATGCAGATGATGATGTTGATGATGCTGATGATGATACTGCTGCTTATGATGCTGATTATAATGTTATGATGATGGTGGTGGTGGTGATGATGATGATGATGAGTATGATAATGACGAGGATGGTGATTATGATGGTGATGATGATGTTGCTGCGGCTGATGATGATGATGATGATGATGATGATGATGATGGTGATGATGATGATGATGGTGGTGGTGGTGGTGGTGGTGCTGGTGGTGGTGGTGCTGGTGATGGTAATGGTGATGATGATGATGATGTGGTGGTGGTGATGATGATGATGTGGTGGTGGTGATGATGATGATGATGATGATGGTGCTGATGGTGGTGGTGGTGGTGATGATGATGATGCTGATGATGATGATGCTGATGATGATGATGTTATGATGATGATGGTGGTGGTGGTGATGATGATGATGAGGAGGAGGAGGAGGAGGGAGGAGGGAGGATGAGGAGGAGGAGGAGGAGGAGGGGAGGAGGAGGGGGAGGGGGAGGAGGAGGAGGAGGGGAGGGGGAGGAGAGGAGGAGGAGGAGGAGGAGGAGGAGGAGGAGGAGGAGGAGGGGAGGAGGAGGAGGGAGGGGAGGGAGGGAGGGAGAAGGAAGGAGGAGGAGGAGGAGGAGGAGGAGAGGAGGAGGAGGAGGAGGAGGAGGAGGAGGGGGAGGACGAAATGAGGAGTTGGATGAGGTGGAAGACGAGGAGAGCAGGAGCAGGAGGAGGAGGAGAAGGAGGAGGAGGAGGAGGAGGAGAAGGAGGAGGAGGAGGGATGGTCGCGTCGTGATCGACCACAATCAAAAGCGTACAGAGAGTACTGGAGGGCGGCGGCGACGACGCCGAGGGGAGGGGGGCGCACCCCTCGCCAGGTCGGAGCACAGCCTCCCGTCCAGTCCGATCTGCCAAAGAGGGCGTGCCGCCTCAGGACGAAGCCTGCGCACGGGGAGGGAGGGGAGGGGAGGGGAGGGAGGGAGGAGGAGGAACAGGAAGAGGAGGAGGAGGAGGAGGAGGAGGAGGAGGAGGAGGGAGGGAGAAGAAAAATGGAGGAAGAGGAGGAGTAGGAGGAGGAGGAGGAGGAGGAGGAGGAGGGGAGGGGAGGACAAAGCCTGCGCACGGGGGGGAGGGCTCGTTTCGATTCCTCCGATTCGATTCGATTCGACTTCGATGGACTCCGATTCCGATTCGATTCGGCTTGGGATTCCGATTTGGGTTCCGATTTTACATTGGAGGCACACTTGCCTGCCGATGTCCGCCGATTCGACATTTCCCGACTCGGCTGCCGATTTCCGCCGATCCGACTCATTTCGATCGCCGATCCGACTTGTCGATTCGACTTTGGGGGCGCCTGCACGGGGAGGGAGGGAGGGGAGGGGAGGGAGGGAGGGAAAGAGTGACGTACGGCTGGACCGAGGTATAAGATCGAGGTCGGTTCGGGAAGGGCACCCTTCAGTTCTTCGTGTTCGTTGGATGTTCTTGTGCATCCTGGGGAGGGTACCCTCTGATGTTCTGTCTGGTTTGGCCGGTGGAGGGCCTCATGTGGTTGAAGGATGTTATTATGTCCGAGGTCCGGCTGTACACGTGCATGAATCCACGTTGGCTGCGAAAGTACGCATTGCGCGAGCGTTCTCATCACGAGGCTGGTGTCGCAGACTGGGGGGCCGCATTCATGTACGTGGTTGGGCGCGTACATTCTGTGTGGGCACCTCAGGGAGGGAGGGAGGGCGACGGGAGGGAGGAAGTTGGCAACAAACCCAGACATGCTCGCGTCTTGAACACAAGTCACGACTAAGGTTTTTGGCTGTTTTCGGCCTTTGGGGCCCTCGCCGGGCCCCGGGATCTTCCACAGAAGTACTCGGGATGAAGAGTTGGTTCTGCGGAAAGGGCCGGGACGTCTGTTTTGGGGACCCCAGATTGAAACAACTATGGCATTGGATGTTTGGGAAAGTGGTCGGGGTCTTCCTCCCATGGAGTAGAACTTGGCTATTTTGGGCGCCTGCTTCCAGCAGGTGGAGTCTCCCCCATAGGACGCATTGTTGCAAACAGTCGCATGAAGCAGAGGTCTGGAGCCAGACCCCCCCCCTCCTCAAGAGGGGAAAAACATACAGACACTATCAATCGTCGATCCACAGGAAAATATGCGAAAATGTGGGAAGTGGGGGGGAGGACAAAAACCCAGAAAATATGGGAAAATATGGGGAATCCTGTTATTTGTGTGTATTTATTTGTGTGTCCCAGGGCCCCTTCAAAGAAAACGCTCACAATACAGTTCAGACACCGTTCCATCTATCCATGTCGGTGCATTCGTGGCCGAGACTCGCCAGGCCCCGACGAGCCCCTTCGCTCCACATTTGTCGCTTCCTCTGGTAGCACGATGACTGTAAGATAGACGGCGTCCTCCTCCTCCTCCTCCTCCTCCTCCTCTTCCTCCTCCTCCTCCATCTCTTCGCCTGGGGATCGGAGGGCTGCGCCGCATCGCCAATGCATCGGCGGCTCGGCGTGAGGCCCGATTTCCTCCACGCCGATGTCTTGCCGATGTACTGGTGATGATTCGGTGATGCGTCCATCGACGATGCGGCGTGATCCCCCGAGCTCATCCACTCCGACCCCATCTGGGAGTCCTCAAAGGGCAGGGCTGCAAATGAGAGACACCTTTGGCCGGAGTGACCTTTGGTGGAGGGAGTCAGGGGCAACCTTAGGCGGGGATTGGATTACAGTGCGGGCGCGGCCGCAAGAAACCCTCGCAAGAAACGCAACCCTGAGAACCCGTGCGCGAGGTTTACCTGAGGGGAAACCTGGAGCACCCTGAACGCAGCAGCTCCTTCAACGGCTGCGGGAAGTCACCGCGAAGCGCGAGGAGCGAAGAAACCAAGGATACCCTGACGAAAAGCATATGGTTTCTTGATGCGCGCCCCCACTGTAGGGGGGATGCATCGACACCCAATCGCCCATTCATCGCCGATAAATGCCGGCCTGGCAGCCCGCCCTGCCCAAAATTGTGCGGTTTCGCTATGCGGGGCGAATCGCCGATCTATCGGCGACGTATCGCCGATTCCAGGTCGATCTTTCCCTCCCTGAGCTGGTCCCCTTCTCGTTACCCCTCAAGGGCAGGGAGTCGGTGCCTTCTCCTCCTCCTCCTCCTCCTCCTCCTCCTCCTCCTCCTCCTCCTCCCTGAGAGACCCTTCGCCAGAGGGAGCCTCCGGTGCGGGCCCACAGGGGTGCCCCCCGAGCACTGGCTGCGCGCCCAGATTTGTGGCCCCCGCGGCCCCCTGAAGCCGCGCGCCGAAGGCCACCCTTGCCTCGGCTCACTCTTGCGTGTACACCTTAGGCGATGCTTAAGAAAACTTAAATTTTCGGCCAGAGTCTCGATTATTCTTAATGTTTCAATGTAAATCCCAAGAGTTTGATAGAAATGCTGGGTTTTCATTCAAGTTCTGAGACTATGAATTTCTTAACCCATGATTTCTTAAGCATTTCGCAGGGTGTAGCCAGGGAGGAGGGACAGGAGGTCCTCATCCCCCTCCTGTCAAAGCCTCGACCATGCACATCCTCCCTCCTCATTCATGCTTCCCTCCTCGGTCATTAGTGTTTCCCTTCCTTCACCATCTCCTGCTTTCAAGACGTCGATCCTTCTCCTCTTCCTTGATCTCTTCATCCCTCGTCCTCCATAACCCCCTCCCTCCCCCTCCCCCCTTCCATCTCCATCGTTGCATATTTCCGCATCACCAATCCAGCTGTAGAATCAGACATTGATCCTTGAATTGCATGCCCACCCCTTCAGGAGGGAAAAACACACACAAACACAATTAACTGTCGACTCCCCGGAAATATGGGAAAATATGGGATGTGGTGGGGAAATACAAAAACCCAGAAAATACAAGAACATATTCGGAATATTGGTGTTTGTGTGTATTTATTTGTGTGTCCTTGGGCCCTTTCAACCTCATTATTCATCCTGTGCCCTCGTCCTGTTCCTCATCATCTTTCTTCGGTCTTCGTCCAGCCTTGTGTCCTCCATCCCTGGCGCCCTCGTACACTCCTGGTACCTGAGCCTCGGGCACGTTGGCCACTGCCCCCCCTCCCCCCACGGGTCAGGCGACGCACACTGAGTGTCAGCAGCTCACACCGGTGGAGGGCATCGGGGGATGCGAGCTACACGCCAACACCGACCCTGGCCGGTGCGATCCTGAGCTCAGGATCGGTGTGTATGCCTTCTGGCTCGGCCAGGGATGTGCATACGTACACCAAGCCTGGGCCTGGCGAGGATCGGCGTGGGTACGCAGGTGGCGCGTTCGAAGAGTAGCCCTCCGTGGGAGAGCTGGTCTGGAGCAACCTGTCTCTCTCTCTCTCTCACTCTCTCTACCTCTCTCTTGCGCTCCCTCGCTCTCTGTCTCGCGTCCTCTCTCTCTCTCTCTCTCTCTCCCTCTCGATGAATATCCCTCCACTCAGTTCTCTGTTCCCCTTGCTCGTGGCATTCATGTAGTGATATGTGAGTATGTTTGTATACATCTATGCATACGTGTATGTGTATGGCGGCCTTCGGCCAAGCGCACCTCCGTGCCTGGGTTGTAGGTCATCTGTGTCTCTGGCAGGTTAAAACAGGGCTAGGATCGGGATAAATCGCTCCAGAGCGTTCCGGAGCGCTCTCAGAGCGTTCCGGGACGCTCTGGAGCGGCCGCGGCGCCCAAGACATCCTCCAAACCCGCCGATTCTCAGAGATTTCGAGTTATCCCGATCCGATGTTGTCCCGATCTTCGCGTCGTTTTACAGGTACCACTTTTGCCATATCGATGGATGTCTCTCGATGTCTCTTGGGATTACCCTCAGTGGCTTCTTTGGATGCGTCGCTCTCGGATCGGCCGATGGGATCGGCACTACCAGCATTCTGCATGGGTTGTGCGCCGGTGGCCTTGTGGATGCATCGTAGATTCTCTCTCGGGAGCTTATTATTGGAGGGCTCCTGGAGGCCCGTGGGCCTCTTGGCGGTCTAGGGGGTGATCTTGGGGCGGAAGGCTCGAAATGCCAGTTTGGGTTGCCTCTTGGGCCGTATTGAAGCTCTCTTGGGGGCCTGTTGGAGCGATACCGGGATCCTCTTGGGCAGCCTTCGACCGTTGGAAGACCGAACAGGCGAGAATGCTCAAATCATCCAAAAGCATGTAGGACGTCCGTGATCGTGGCATTTTGGGCCTCTTGGAGCCTTCCTCGGGCGTGTCGTCTTCGGTGCCTCCTCGGCCATCCTGAGGCCATCTTCTGGGTCTTGCAGCTCTCCTGGGCCGTCTCTGGACCCCTTTTTGGGACCGTCGAGGGAGCGCCTCGGGACGTTCCTGGCCCGTCGTGGGGCCTCCTGGCCTTGGGGAGAAGTGCAGAGCGTGAGGCCCCAGAAGGCGCGCAGGAAGCCCCAGGAGCGCCCAGAGTTTTGTCCGTGTTTTTTTTGTTATGTACTTGAAGCGAGGGGTAGGAAGACCCAAATCTCTGCACAGAGGGCTCTCACGTACCTGAGGACACACCTCTTTTTGCCTCGGGGAGATGTTGCGGATGCACACACGTACATATCGACCTACCTACATACATGCATGCATGCATGTATGCATGCATGCACACGTACATACATGCATGCATACATACATGCATGCATACATACATACATACATACATACATACATACATACATACATCATGCATGCATGCATACATACATACATACATACATACATACATACAGACACATACATACATGCATGCATGCATGCATGCATGCATGCATGCATGCATGCATGCATACATACATATATACATACATACACACACACAACCATATACATACATACATACATGCATGCATGCACGCATGCATACGTGCATGCATACATACGTATATACATACATACAAACAAACATACATGCACATGCACATGCGTACGTACATACACGCATACATGCATACATGCATACATACATACACACATACATATACTCATGCATGCATATATGGATGCATGAAAATATGCATACATGCATACATACATACATCTATACATACACACATACATACATACATACATACATATATACATGCATACATACATACACATACACATACACATACCTATACATACATGCATTCATCCATCCATCTATGCATACATCAATACATACATTGGTTCATTCATAGTTCATACATACATTGTCTACACACATGCTCAGACTTATGGTTGTACATGCTTATATGGAGATACCAGAAAGGTGCGCATATGTCCGAACTATATACACACGTGAAGCCTCTATCTTCGCCCTTCCTCATCGCGGGGCCCAAAGGATCATTGCGGTTAATGACGTTTATTTGTTGGACAACTTGCCAAGCCTCGGGCTTAGTCTGCGGAGGATGCGCGCGCGGACACCCGGGAGCCAGAAGGAGCCATACAAGCAGCGTAGGGAGGCGAGAAGTCGGGGAGACGAGGAGGCGGCGGGCAGGGTGTAGTGACGCACGAGAGACACACACACACCCATACCCACAGGGGGGACGGACGGGGCTATTGGTGCGTGTTGTCGAACGGTGGTCCCCGCTCGAACGGGAGCCTCCCCAGGGGTCCAGCAACCACCACCCATACCCATAGTATAGTTCTCCGCCCTCCGACCTCCCTATGGTATTGGTGTGTGTGGTGTTTTTTCCGTCATGAAGAGCGAAGGAGGACCAGCTGAAGCAGGAGCACCAGCAGGGGCAGGAGCAGGAGCACGAAGAGAATTAGGTGGAGAAGCGCGAGGCAGGCGGACACAGGATGTTAAGGAGGACCCCACATCTGGTCAGGGGATTCAGGGCCTCGTCATCGTCGTCGTCGTCATCGTCATCACCACCACCATCTCTCCGTCTCCTCGATCCGCCCTTCTCCTTCCCTCGCTCCTGCTCGCATTCTTCCTTTCCACGCCCCTCCTCTTCCACACCCTGCCCCGGCTTGAAAGGGCAGGGTATGCGGAATAAGCCGAATATGAGTGCGTTTTTTTGCTGCTTGGATTGCCAATGGTGGTGATGGTGTCGATGAGAATGTTGGTCAGGAGGAAGTCGCAGGCGATCTCAAGCGCTGGTCGGTGCCGCCCTCTTGTTCTTTCCGGTCCCCTGGGAAGCAGGCAAACGCAAGGCTGCGCGCACGCCAGGGAGGTCTCCTTGGTGATGTGCGAGTCCATGGTTTGTCGAGCCCAGCGAGTCGCGCTAACAGATCATTCCGGCAATCGAGCCGCGCACGCGCACCATGGCTGTGAAATGCGGAGATCACATGCGAATCGTTCACAATCCAGGGCGGCCACTCATCTCAGCAAGGAGATGAGCCTGCCGAGCGCTCGCAGAACAATGTCTACGCTCCGCGCGTCCCTGTCCTGCGGGCAGTGGCCCGCCCCTCTTCAGGTGTAGGCGCCTCAGGGACTAACTGGGAGGCCCGTGGGAGCATGTTGTGGCCAACCTCCTTGTCCCGCCGCAGGAACTGCCCGCACCCCTGCAGGCAAGATTTCTATCCATACCCATGGCTTCTAGGATTTTCTGGGAAGGGAGGCCAAAAGCCCGAGACGCGGCGGATATGGATAAAAAAATGGCCGCTGGAGAAGCCAGAATTTTGTCCATATCCATTGCGTCTCGGGCTGCTACAGGGAAGGGGGTCCGAAAACCCGAGACGCAGTGCGATAACCCAAGCAGGTCAGAACCTCACCATCTGTCAAAAACTAGAAGAACATCAATGTGTTTCGCCTCCTCGGAGGCCCTTGGAGCCTCGTGGGGGCCTCGTGGGTCATCTTCGGGCGCTGTTGGCCCGTCTGACGCCTTCGGAGGCCGTCTTGGGGATATGGGCATGCATTTTGCCTGCGGCCCACAAGCTTCACGCTGAGCTCCCTGCGAGGCTGGCGCTCAACCAGGCCGCCCAGGGGACGGCCCCATCTCGTACGGCCCCGCCGCCAGACCAGCGCCTCGGATCCCGGGCAGCGACTACTCCAAGCCAGACGGCACGAGCAAGCTCCCGCTCGGAGCCGTCGGCGTCGCTGTTGGCACAGCCTGCGGCAGGAGGGCCTGCAGCACGGGCCCTCGCTTCGGCGGCCGCCCGCGCGGCCAGGGCCGCCGCCGCCGGGCCTCGCGTGTGGTGGGTTCAGTCTTCGCGCGCCCCGCCTGGCTCCTGACCGGAAGAGGCCCGCTCCCGACCCGCCGACCAAAAAGGAAGTGGTGGGGCCAGGTCCGGCGCGAACGGGCGCGGAGCCGCTCCGGCCCCCGCGCCGTCTTCGCTCCCGCCCTCCCCTCAGGCCGGCCACAATTGGGGGAGTTGTGGTCCTTACCCCCCTGGGGGACTCATCGATTTCGACACCCCTCTCGAGAGATCGTCGATGCGATGGGTTCCCCCAGGGGGGTAAGGAGCACAGCTCCCCCAGTTATGCCTGGTCGGCCCCTGCGCTTGCGCCCAGAGATTCGCTCCCCACGCGCCCCGCCGGTGGCCGCCCGCGGAGCCGCGCCGCCGCCGTGCACGGCCCCTCTGGCCTCGGCGGCGACAGCCGAGCCCCGCCCACGCCGATCAACGATTCGGGCAACTCCTCCTCCTCCTCCCTCCTCCTCTCCTCCTCCTCCTCCTCCTCCTCCCTCCTCCTCCTCCTCCTCCTCCTCCTCCTCCTCCCCTCCCTCCTCCTCCTCCTCCTCCTCCTCCTCCTCCTCCTCCTCCTCCGCCTCCTCTTCCTCCTCCGCCTCCTCCTCCTCCTCCACCTCCTCCTCCATTCCTTTTCCTTCTGAATAATTGCTTCCTGTCGCACCCCGAGGCCAGCTTTTCGGGCGGCCCGGGCTCTTCGCCTGATACTTCCTCACCATTTATGATTCTGAAGCTCAGAAATTGGCAACAGTTTCACAGCTGGAGGGTTTCAAAATGTGGCTCTCGCCTTAGCGCGGCGCACATTCGTCTTGAACATGTGCAAGAGCACGGATGGAGGGCGGTTCCGGTTCAAAATGTGGCTCTCGTTTTTCAGCGCGGCGCACATTCGTTTTCAAATATCGCAAGAGGTTCACGGATTGAAGGCGGGTGGTTTTCAACATGTGGATTTCGCTTTAGCGCAGCGATCACGCGTTCTAAGAAATTGCAAGAGTTTCACGGATTGCCATCATCAACGTGTCAGAAATGGTGTTTTGAAAGGACTCAGGATGCTGATTCACTGTGTTGAAGTCCCAGGAATGGTGTTTTGGCACGATTCAGGATGATCAAGACGAAACAGTCAGGTTGATCCGTGGCGTTGGAATCCCGAGAACAGTGTTTTGGCAGGCTCCAGAGTCTTCAAGCGGGTGCCTTCCAATGAGGCAGTTTTTTCGATGGAATTGAGCCGTTGCAGGGGCCTATGAAGAGGGAGCTTGGAGGGAGGATTCATTTTAACATCTTTGATGACTCTTGGGTTTACACTGGTCCTCCTCCTCGTCCTCATCTTCCCTCCTCCTCCTCCTCCTCCTCCTCCTCCTCCTCCTCCTCCTCCTCCTCCTCCTCCTCCTTTTGTACCTTAGACCAACCTGAGCAGGAGGCTGCGGTGTAAGCTGTGGCGTTTGACCACCTCCTCTTCCTCCTCCTCCTCCTGACAGACCCCTCGAGTCATGAAAGAGGCGTTACCAGAAGCTTTTCGCTGTGTTCGCACTCTGGAGGCCTTTGCCTGGCCTCGGGGCCCTCCGCAGACGCTGCGGGTCGAAGTAGCAGTCCCGTGGAATGGGTCGAGGCATCTGGGGGCCGACGTCCTGAAGGAAGATTACAGTGGGGGCCCATGCCAAGAAACACCCTGTTTGCCTCCAGGGTGCCCTGGGTTTCTTGGGTTTCGATGTTTATGCCACGGGAAGCGTGACGTTCCCACACCTGAAATCGATGGACCTCCTGGGGTCTCAGGGTTGGGTTTCTTGTGGACTAGCCTCCGCTGCAGTGACGTCGGGGGGGGTGGGGGAGGGAGGGTCGAGCACGTGCCGAAATCCCAACCATGCCCCCGCCTCCCGTCGATTCGGGAGAAGACGCCGCCACTCTCAGCCCGCCGTGGCGGTGACCAGCAGAGCCTCTCATCGCCTCGCCGGGCCAGAGCGCCGGGGGCAGCGATGCGGGGGGATGGGCTGAGCGGGGGCGGGGCGCATCGCTCCCCAATCGCTCCTCCACCGCAACCTGAGGGGCCCAAGCGATGCGGGGGGATGGGCTGAGCGGGGGCGGGGCGCATCGCTCCCCAATCGCTCCTCCACCGCAACCTGAGGGGCCCGATGGCCCGCCCCCGCGCAGGAGCATATGATGCGCTCGCTGTCGCGGGCCTCCATCGGCGACGCATCGCCAATCCCAGCTCGATGTCTCCCCCCCTGAGGTGGCCCCCCCCTCCCCCCCCCCTTGTTGCCCCCCAGAGCGGCTGGACCCCGGGAGCGCTGCAGCATCGCTCGTGGGCACCCCCGACGCCCGTCCCAGCTCCGAGGCCCTCGCCCCCCGTGTGCTGCCCCGCCCCATTTGGGCCCGTGTGCTGCTCGCCTCAGAGCCCGCTTGGGACCAGGGCTGGACCTGAGCCTCAACGCTGTGTTGCTGGACCTCGGCTGCGTACTGTCTGTCCTTGAGGGAGGGAGGTGCAGGAACACAGGCAGAGCAAAACGAACACACGGATCGAACACGAAACGAAGCACAGCGCTTCGGCCCAGCCCTGCTTGGGACTGCGGCCGCGCCGAGCCCCGGTGCTCCCGGCCCGCCGCCGCCGCGCCGCCCCCTCGGCCAGCTTCCGCGCGCCCTGGCGGCGCCCCATCGCGGCGATCAGCGGCACCGTAACGGGTACTCACAGACGGGTACTTTCTGGAGATGTGCCGAAAGCTGCCAGTTTGGGGTCCTTGCCTGGCATGGCAGCGTTGCCCACATCGGGGAGGGTTAGGTTCGCGGGGTCGCCGGCCAAAGTACACCTTAGGCGATGCTTAAGAAAACCCAAGTTTTCGGCCAGAGTCTCGATTAGTCTTAACGTTTCGATGTGAATCCCAAGTTTTGAATGGAAACGTTGGGTTTTTACTCAAATCCTGAGACTCTGAGTTTCTTAACCCATGATTTCTTAAGCATTTCGCAGGGTGTACCCGTCAGTGGAGTCCCCGTCGGATGGGGCGCGGAGGCGAGGCCCCTCGGGCACGGCCTGCGGAGGTCGACCGGGGGCGCGGGGCCTCCTGCCCCTAAGGAATCCTCCTCCTCCATCTTCCTCCTCCTCCTCCTCCTCCCTCCTCCTCCTCCTCCTCCTGCCTCGTCCCCCCCTACAGGAGGAGCATCCAGAAATACGCAAGCAATCGTCCAGGGACGATTTTTTGTTATTGTTTGCGGGCTGTGCTTGAGCACGCCTTTCTCTTGTTTGTGAAGTCGTTCGTCCAAGACCCGCTGCAGGAGGACCTGCCCGACCTGATCCTCTCCCCCCCCCGCCTCCGCAGGACTCGGGACCGCGGGCTCGTCCCCCTCTACAGGAGGAGCATCCAGGAACACTCAAACAATCGTCTGGGGACGATTTCTTGATTGCTTGCTGGCCATGCCTGAGCATGCCTTTTGCTTGTTTGAAATGGTTCGTCCAAGATCCGCTGCAGGAGGACCTCGGGGGCGGGGGCCGTGGGCGTGGGGCGCACGCCGGCCCGAAGGGGGGGCGGCCCCCGAGGACAGGGAGAGACCCACGGTCGCCACCCACCAAGCCACCCCAACCCAACTCGGGCGAAGAGGATTATGCACATGCACCGATCCTGACAACGTCCATCCTTGACCCAGGATCGGTGCATATGCCTTCCTGGCCAAGGTAGGAGGGCATATGCACCGATCCTGGGCTCAGGATGGGTCTGGCCAGAATCGGTGTATGTGCATAATTCTTTTTCCTCTACCAACGGCCTCAAATTGACCTCCATTTCCAGTGGGGGGGGGGGTCGGGGGACATCGAGAAACCACAGATGGAACTCGTACCCCCCCCAACCCGAAATTCGGGTCTTCGGGTTGGGTTGAGGTGGTCTGGTAGGTAGTCAGACGGAAGGGCGACACGGGGAGGAGCAGCGGGAGGAAGAGAGAGGGGAGGGAGGGAGGGAAGGAGCAGAAGCCCTATGGCTTCTGTCTCTCGTAATCGTGTTGCGCCTCCGGCTATCTCCGTCCTCATCCTGCTCCTCCCCTGTTTTTGGTGCCCCCCCCAGCCCGTCCTACAGTGGAGACCCGCGCCAAGAAACACCCTACTTGTCTCAAGGGTGCCCCAGGTATGTTGGGTTTCGATGGTCTTGCTGTGGAAAGCATGACGTCCCCACGCCAGAAATTCATGGACGTCCTGGGATCTCAGGGTTGAGTTTCTTGTGGAAGGTTTCTTATGGTCGAGCCCCTACGGTATGGCTACCCATCGGTCGTTGAACGTAGGTACTTTGGGATCCCATATTCCAATCTACTTGAAGCGCCTTCCTGCTTCAATGATCGAGCGGCTTCATCTTATCCGTCCTCCTTGGGGGGCGGACGGAACCCAGTCTACTTTCAACGCCTTCCTACTTGTTTGGTTCTACCTACTTCTCCCGACCGATGGGTACTGTCTCTCGTACTCGTGCTGCGCCTCTGACCATCTCCATCCTCCTCGTGCTCCTCCCCTGGTCTCTGGTGCCCCCCCCCCCCAGCCCACTGTGGCGGGTGGAACGCGCCGGGTTGTGGCGAGTGGGAAGGAGGAGGAGGAGGAGGAGGAGGAGGAGGACGAGGAGGGAGGAGGAGGAGGGAGGAGGAGAAGGAGGAGGATATTGTCTGGTCCCTGCTGCTGCTGGTGCCTGCCCTGTCCCCTCACGCCACATGACTAATTATTCGGCTCTGAGGGAGGCCCCCTCTTGCTGCTGCGCATACATCCTGACGGACTGAAGCGGGGTGGACTCGGAGTAAGAAGTTCATTTCGTCACTCAGCGCCAGCGTGTGCGGAGTGAAAAGGGGGGACAAATGGGGGGTGGAGGCCGTTTTTCTTATTTCTTTTGTTTTTTTCGCATCGACCTTGGGCCAGTGCCTAGGGTGGTCCCACCTGCCTGGGAAGCGTGGCCTCCTGCTTTTCGCACCCCGCGGGGTTGTCCCGCCTGCCTGGGAAGCGCGGTGTTCTGCCCCCCCCCCCCCCCCCCCCCCCACAGGACAGTCGCGCCTGTGCGCTAGAGGCCTGGGCGACACGGGCCGCGAGTGCCGGGCGAGAGGGCAAGCCGAGGGGAAGGAAATTGCAGGAGGGTCGGGGGGAGGCTGAGCGCGGCACGGCGGCGGGGCGAGGGAGGGCCAGGTGGGCCGCGGTCTGTGCGGGTTTTCCGCTGGCGGGGCGTGCGCAGGTCTCTAGGGCACAGGGCGCATACCGGGGATGCCGAGGACAGGCATCTGGCGCCTGGGGTTCGCTGGTAATCCGGTGATGCGCTTCCTCGTGGCTTCGGTCTCGGCGGGCGCATCTTCATTCCGCACGGTCTCCGCCGCCTCCATTCCAGCTTTTCTCTTCAGGGTCTGGTCGCCAGGCGGGCCCCCGTCTTGGTCGGCGGGGCAAGGTGGCTCTGCGTGCTGCGTAACCCCCTGCACACAGCGACCTCGCAGGCATCAGGGGTTGCTCTGCTATGGCGTGTGCCGCAGCCGCCTCAAGAAGGTGTGCGTCTTCACTCTGGCACATGATGACGGCATTGAACATTTGGTTCCGCAATCTGGCGCCGTTGAGGCGGTCCACTACCTTCTGGGCGGGTTCCGCGTACGAGCATCGCACGGTGACGTGGCCGCACACGGTGTCAATGGATTCGATGAGGTCGAACATGGAGGAGGTGGCCTGGATGCCCGACATGTCGAGGGCGCCGTGCTGATTGTCTATGGCGATTGTTCGCCGCAGTATCTGGGCGCACCCCCCCTGCACATCGGTTATCGGGGGATGCTGCGCTAGCAGGGTTGTCTCATGGGCGGTGCGCTCGCCCTGGCCCGGTGGAAGCTGGCCACTGCCGACAGCCTCCGTGTGGGGATGACTGTATGGCGAGGCCAGTCCGTTACGCACTGATGTCTCAGGTAGCTGTGCGCACCCCCTGCACATGGCGACTTGACAGACATCAGGGGTTCCTGCGCAATTGTTGCCTGTGCTGTGCCCTTCAAGTCCTTGCCGGTGTAGTCGCTGGCGCCGGTGTCCTCGTCGGCGTGGCCCTTGTGAGCGCTGTTGTCCTCGTAGCCGTAGCTGTCCAGGTGCACTCGGCAACTATAATCCGTAGGATCATGGAGGTCGGGCACCCACTCCTGTAGAGGCCAACGGTTCGAGTGCCACCACACTTCCCACGTGTGCAATTCCCGTTCGAGCTCGCATGTACGCTGCTTTTGCGCGTGTAGCTGTTCGGCGACGCCGCGCCGCGATGCAGGCTGCCTCGTCTCCCTGGCCTCGCGAGGGTGGCGATACCACGCATTGTGGATGATCTGGTCGAGATCAGGGCTGGACCTAAACGGTGTTTTGGCGATTTCGTGGGCCGTTTTCGCTTCGACCTCGCTTTGCGGTAGAGGCGGATTGAAGACAAAACGAGGAAACACGAACGCAAAACGAAAAACACCGTTTAGGTTCAGCGTTGCACGAGCGCGCCCTGCCAGTGCCGGGCCACGGCCGATGGCCGTGGCGCGGGCGCATGGGCCTCGCCACGAGAGCGCGCCGCGCCCGGGCGCCGCCTCGGCCGCCCTGTGCGGCAACAGGGGGGCCTCGGGCGATCGTGCCTGGAGCCGCAGTGGCTACGGTGCTCCCGCCTCCTCCTCCTCTCCCGTCCTCCTCCTCCTCCTCCTCCTCCTTCTTCTCCTCCCCCGTCCTGCTCCTCCTCCTCCTCCTCCTCCTCCTCCTTCTTCTCCTCCCCCGTCCTCCTCCTCCTCCTCCTCCCTCCTCCTCCTCCTCCTCCTCCTCCTCCTCCTCCTCCTCCTCCTCCTCCTCTCTCTCCCCTCCTCCTCCTCCTCCTCCTTCTTCTCCTCCCCCGTCCTGCTCCTCCTCCTCCTCCTCCTCCACCTTCTCCTCCTCCTCCTCCCTCGTTGTCCTCCTCCCTTCTCCTGGCCCTACCATCCTCCTCGTGCCTCTTCTGGACAAGATCGGTTGAAGGACTGGCCTGGGAGCCTTCCGGGGGTCAGCCTGGCAAGTTGTTCGTCTGTGGATCGGTCGTTGAAGGCCCAGGGGTCCGGAAGGGCTCCAAGAAAGTAAAGAAAAACAGGTGCTTCGATGCTGATCGATCTTCCCTCCCTCCCGACGGTGGCAACCGTGGGGTGTGGCATTCGCCCTGCAGTTGTGATCCCGACCGACACCCTCGAGGACGACCGAGGCGAACTTCCTCCCCCCTTCTGATGTTCCAACCTACTTACCTGTTCCTCCCCAGAACTAAGGGGTTTTGCGTGTCGGGCCCCGGGAGGCGATATTCGTTCGATTCCTTCTCGATGCTTTCCTGGGTGCTCGAGATAATTTCTGGGACGTGGTCCTCAAGTGCGAGGCGAGCCACAGCACTCCCCCCCTCTCCTCTTTCTCGGGGGACGGGGGGAGGCAGGGGACGGTTACGGTAGGTTTGCGTCGTGTCGACCAGCGGCGACCCCAGCGTGGGCGTTCAAGGTTGAACGCCGCTGGCGACCCAGAATCGATCAACGTTGAACGATCGGACGTTGCGGCAGCGGCCAATCGTTCAAGGTTGAACGATCCCTGCGGTGTCAAAAACCAACGCTGGGGTCGGCACGACACGAACCTGCCGTACACCCTAGGCGATGCTTAAGAAAACTTGAGTTTTCGGCCAGAGTCTCGATTATTCTTAATATTTCAATGTAAATCCTAAGATTTTGATAGAAATGTTGGGTTTTTATTCGAGTTCTGAGACCATGAATTTCTTAACCCATGATTTCTTAACCATTTCGCAGGGTGTATGCCAGAGGGGGGGGGGGGGGGCAGCCTTCGAGCGCCCCGCCGAGGGCTCAGCACGCTGGTGGCGCAGGAGGCGCCACCGCCTCGGCGCGGCCCCTCTGCGGCCCGACGCCGCAGGGAGGGCTCCTCCTGCTCCTCCTCCCGCTCCCTCCTCCTGCTCCTGCTCCTCCTCCTCCTGCTTCTCCTCCTGCTCCTCCTCCTGCTCCTCCTCCTTCTCCTCCTGCTTCTCCTCCTCCTCCTGCTTCTCCTCCTCCTGCTTCTCCTCCTCCTCCTCCTCCTCCTTCTGCTCCTGCTTCTCCTCCTCCTCCTCCTGCTTCTCCTTCTCCTCCTCCTCCTGCTTCTCCTCCTCCTCCTGCTTCTCCTCCTGCTCCCCTGGGCCCTTCGGTGAGCCCCTCGTCGCCGCGGCTGGATCCGCCTCGAGTTTCCTGGTCAGAGCGCGATCTGGGAGATCTCCGAAGGCCGACTTGGAGGACGATGCCTCCATCCCCTCGCCCTTTCTATTTCCCTCCCGCTCCTCTTCATTGCACCTCCTCCCCTGCGACCGTTCCCTGCCTTCTCACGGTGCCCGCAGTCTCTCTATCAGCCCACAGGCCGATGGCCGTGGCGCGTGGGCGTGCGCACTCGTGTGCTCATTGCATGTTGTTATGTCATACTTGTTCCCGGCTCCTGGATTTAAATCGGGCCTGTCCCTTTACAGGAGAACTATTCAAAAGTCTGGGGACGATTTTTGAATGTTGCTTGATTAGTTTTGAATATTTTGAGTTATTTTTGCTTTTCCTCCAAAATCCGCCTGTAAGGGGACATGCCCCACCTAATCCTAGATGGAAGCCCGATGGGCCTCTCACAGAGCCAGAGACTCTTCTCTGCACAGCTCACGTGCTCTGTGTTTGCCTGCCCTGCAATACTTCAGCCACGCGTGGTGCCATTGTGGCCAGTGCCTATCCGCAACGATCGCCCGCAAAGTCGCTCGAAACATGCCTGGTAAGGCTCCAGCTGCCTGCGGCAAACACCCCCACCGTGCCTGTGCCGTGCCGAGTGTAGGAACAGCGCAATCCCGACAGGCGGTATGATGAGGATGGGTCGTGAACTCGATCTCGTCTTTGTCCGCGCGGTAGGGAGGAGGAGGAGGAGAATGAGGAGGAGGAGGAGGGATGATGATGATGATAATGATAATGATGATGATGATGATGATGATGATGATGATGATGATGATGATGATGATGGATGATGATGATGATGATGATGATGATGATGATGATGATGATGATGATGATGATGATGATGATGATGATGATGATGAGGAGGAGGAGGAGGAGGAGGAGGAGGAGAAGGACCAGTGTAAACCCAAGAGTCATCAACGAAGTTGGAATCAACCCTCCCTCCAAGCTCCCGTTTTCCCTACCTAGGCTCTGCCTAGAAGGGTTCTTACTTGATTAGCTGAAAGGGGCCGGGCAGAGCAAAACGCCCCGGGCGGTTCCCCCGGCATCCGCCCCGCGGTTCCCCCAGTCCCCTGGGAGCTTTAGCTTTAGCTTCAGCTTCAGCTTTAGCTTCAGCTTAGCTTGAGCTTAGCTTGAGCTTAGCTTGAGCTTAGCTTGAGCTTAGCTTGAGCTTAGCTTCAGCTTAGCTTCAGCTTAGCTTTAGCTTAGCTTCACCTTAGCTTTAGCTTAGCTTTAGCTTTAGCTTAGCTTGAGCTTAGCTTGAGCTTAGCTTTAGCTTAGCTTTAGCTTAGATTTAGCTTAGCCTTAGCTTAGCTTTAGCTTAGCTTTAGCTTAGCTTTAGCTTAGCTTTAGCTTAGCTTCAGCTTAACTTTAGCTTAGCGTTAGCTTATATTTAGCTTAGCTTTAGCTTGGCGTTAGCTTAGCTTTAGCTTAGCTTTAGCTTAGCTTTAGCTTAGCTGTAGCTTAGCTTCAGCTTTAGCTTAGCTTTAGCTTAGCTTTAGTTTAGCTTTAGCTTGGCTTTACTGTTGCTACTAATGCTGCTTTCCTAGGGGCTCCGACTCCTAGGTAGGGTCGCACTGGGATAATTTTCACAGGCCCCTACAAAGGTTCATTCCCACTGAGGGAACTGCATCGTTGGAAAACGACCGTTTGAAGAGCCTGCAGCGCGCCGCCAAAGCATTCTCGGGACTCCGACGCCACGGATCAATATGATTGTTGCCTCTCGACGACCCCGAATCGTGCCAGAAAGACATTCTTGGGACTTCAGCGCCGCGAATCGAAGAGCCTGTTGCTCTCTCAGAATCCAGGATCCGTCTAGAACGCAAGCTCTGTTACGTTGACCATGGGAATGCGTGAAACCCTGGCAGTCTTAAAGGGGAATGTGCGCGGCGCTAAGGCGAGAACCACATCTGTTCAAAAGGAGCCGCCCTCACTTGGACGGTGCGCGGCGCTCGGACGAGAGCCCTATTTTGAAAGCCGCCCGCCCTCCATCCGTGAAGGTATTGCAAATATGTGCAGCGAGTGTGCGCGGCGCGAAGGCGAGACCCCCTTGCAAAAAACCGTACCGCCCCCAATCTTTGAGATTCTTGCAAAGTTTGAAAAGAGAATGTGGGCGGCGCTAGGGCGAGAACCACATTTTGAAAACGGCCCGCCCTCAATCCGTGATGCTCTTCCAAATTCTTGACATGGAAGGGGCGGGGTGCTAAGGAGCGAAACGCAGTTTGAAAACCACCCGCCCGCAATCCGTGAAGTTTTTGCAGATTTGTTGAACGGTATGCGCGCTGCGCTAAAGCCGGACCAACACTGTGAAAGCCACCCGCCCTCAATCCGTGCAATTCCTGAAATGTTTGAAACGAATGTGCGCGGCGCTAGGGCGAAAACCACATTTTGAAAACGGCCCGCCATCTATCTTTGAAACTGTTGCCACTGTTTAAGCTTCAAGATCATAAATGGTCAGGAAAACCAGGCGAAACGCCCGGCCTGCCCTTGCGACTGGCCTCGGGGTGCGGCAAGGGGAAGCTACTTATAAGGAAAAGGAATGGATGACAGTAATAATGTGAGGACGAGGAGCAGAAAACCTCTTGGGGGCCTCCTGCGAGCCTCCTGGGGGCCTCCTGGGGCCCTGACGGGCCTTTTGGGGGCCTTTTTTGGGGGTCTTCTTACCGTAGCCACTGGTTCAAGATGATTGTTTTGGGGGGTCCCGCCCCCAAGGCAAAAGCGGATAGCTCTAGTTCGAGCTCGTGTGAACCAATTTCAGGGGAGACGCGGTCCGCCGTTGTTGGTGCCGCGGCGGTTCGAGCCCCATCGCCCGCATTTCGAAGCGAGTCGCGGGTAGAATTACTGGCAACAAGGGGGGCGAAGGTGGCCAGTGGAGTTGCGCATGCGGCATGGGAGGTGATTGCCCGCGGCGTACGCACAGTCGCTCGTGTGGCAAGGTGGCGCCCAGGTCGTACAAGGATGCGCTATTCGGGTCCGGTGCCGAGGTAAAGAAGCTTCTGCGCGGCCAGGAGGTCACCATAACAAAAAACCAGAAAGTGCACTAGTGAGCTCAAGGCTGGCCCAGGTGGAAGGGGAACGGGGGACGGCACCAGACGGGCCGGCCAACGAAAGCCCGAAGGTCGACCTCGACGAGCTGGAAGCTGGCCAGAGGTACGGTACAGCTCCTAGGGGCCGATTGGACGGCGTATCAGCAGCTCCTAGAGCAGTTCTAGTCCGCACGCCAGCAGCGGGACAGCTCCAAGCCGCACTCGGCGCAGCTCTCGGCAGCGACGAAAGCCAGGCAAAGGTGCGAGCGGGAGCTCGAGACAGCCAAGTCCAATGTCGAGAGGCTCAAGGCGGGGTTGGAGGCAGCCCGCAGCGACCACGACAAGAAGAAGAAGGCTCTCACGGCCGCATTGGCCAAAGAGACATAGATCAAGGTCGCGGGGGGCGACAAGCCCGAGTCATTCATCGAAGCATATTCCGACACGCACGGTGGCAGCGCCGAGCAGTTGCAGGAATGCGGGGGTGCGACCGAGGATGTCGCAAAGGCAAGTGGTCGAACAGGTCGCGCTCGGCGCGGCGCTGCTGCAGCGCCGCCAGGCGGCTGCAGCCAAGCCGCAATGGACGAGGACGAAGACGCGAGCGAGGATGTGCCTCGGAGGGGTTTCCCACGGCCAGAACACAAAAGACGCTTCAAGAAGCTTCCTCCTCAGAGCCTGAATCCACGGATTCTGCATCCGATGGCGGAGGAATCCTCTCCTCGCGCCGGCGCGGCCCAAGCGCGGCAACCCAGCTTTCGTTCTCCCGACGAAGCCCGAAACACGATAGAATGCGGTCTCGAACGGGCGGTTGGCACGGGAGGTGGCGCCCGCGGGCGCCGCGGCCGCGGGCGACGTCTGCCTCCGCGGCCCCGCGGGCGATTCGGTTTACGGCTTGCCTTTGGTCTCGAAGAAGCGCCGCAAAACGAGCGCGGTTGGCACCTCGAGCGTCTAATGTTTGCGGCTGGCCTTATTGCGGGGGTATTCTCGCTTGGTCACCCGGCGGGCTGCGCCTGAGCGCCGCGGCCAGCTCGCGCCCCCAAGCGAGGCCCCGCGGGATTTTCATGGGCTGGCTCCTGCGCGGCGCCCCCCACATTTAAAGCGAAAGAATGGAGTGCGTTTGGGCGCTTGCTCGACGGCGGTCGATTCGACCATCCGGCGCCCTGCGAGCCGGCGCAGCTATCGCAGCTGCTCCAACCGCGGGGCCAATCGAGCTCGAGAACGGTGGCGGCAAACTCGCGCGCGGCGCCAGTGCCTGAGAGGGCCGGTGCCTCTGTAGCTGCCTCGAGCGCAGTGGGCCGCGCCGCGCCGTGGCCCCATGGCCCCTCCAGAACGCCGCGGCCCGCGTCGGGCGCCCGCGCGCCCGCGGCTGCAGCGCGGGCCCGGCCGCTTCAGCGCCCGGCCTCCTCCGCAACGACGCTGCGCGTCCACCGCGGCGACGTTGCCCAGCGCCTGGGGCGCCGCGTCGCCCGCGACGATGCGCGGGGCCAGCTGGGGCCCGTTGCGCAGCGCAGCGCGGGGCCATGGTCGTCGCCGCGCCGCAACCTGCAGTCGCCGACCTCGCGGCGAACAGGCTGCGCGACGCCGCGCCTCCGCGCAGGGCCCGGCTGCTTTCCGAGTAGACGACGCACAGCGCCTGGGGCAGCATCGCGGGGAACTGAAATCGCACAGTTGCCGCTCGTAGGTGGCCACCGCGCGTGCTCGGAGAACCTGCGCACGCCGACGAGCACCTCGGCGTTCGCGAAGCCCGCAGCGCCCCCGAAGGCGGACATCACATTTCGGCGCCAACCTGCCCTGCCGCGCGCTGGGAGGGCATCCTCGCCGGCGCCCCCATCGTCGAGGATGTGGGTGGAGGGGCGCGGGCGCCGCTGGGCAAACCTCTGCGCTGCCTCCCCACCTCTACGCGGGCCCCCCAGTGCCCGCTTGCGCCGCGCAGCTGCCTGCCGATTAGCATCTTCACCCGGGCGCCTCTCGAGCTCGCTCTCCACGTGCCCCCGCGCAGCTGCAGCGTCGCCGCGACGACCCTCGGCGAAGCTGTCGATTACCCGGCGCCTGCGCGCTGCGCGGGCGGCGGGGACTGCCGGGCACGTCCTCTGGGCCCTGCGTCGCGACGACAATGCCGAAGAGCTTCATCCGCCAAAGAGCGAGCAGCTCGCTCCCTCGCTTGCTGGGCCGGCTCCCGGCCACCGCAGCGATTCGCAGGCAACGCGAGCGGAAGGCCACCGGAGCCGTCGTCGCGGGGCAATGCCTGGCTGGCTCGGACCTCGCGCTCCCACGCGGTGCACAGAGGCGCGCGGGATTTGTTCTTTCCGCCGCCGCGCCCTGCGCGGCGCCGGGCGCTACGCTGCTCGAGCCCGTGGAGCTTGGCCAGGTGCGCCTCCGCAGCGCAGAATCACCCCGCAATCGCGCAACCCACGTCGGCTGCGCCTGCGCTGCCGCCGGCGCCCCGCGACCGCCCGACGGGGTCCTGTTGCGGCTGCGGGCCAATCGGGCATTCAATCGGGACGGACTGGAAACGCCGGGGGTGCTCGACATGCCGCGCGGCAGCGACCCCCCCCCCCCCCGCCGCGAAAAAAACATGGGCGAATTGGTCCCCACAGCGCCTCGCGCTGCGCGTCCACGCGTCCACGCGCGCAGCGAGGGTGTCTTTGTATGACGCGGGGAAGGCAAATTGATTCGGCGCATGCCATATTCTGCCGCCCGAAGGTCGTATACGGACACGTCGGCTTGGCGCCCGTCCATTGCGACCCCACCAAAGTGATCCATATCACGGTGCAGGACATGCGTCATGCAAATTCACTCGATGCAGGCATTAATGACATTCTAAATTAGCGTTCCAATTGCTATTTGTCTTGCTCCACCAATTTATTGTTCTCCTGGTTCCCCTGTCGTTTGCGGATCATATTGATTCGCGTACCGTCGTTTGTCATCTTCGTACTTCAAGTCTCTATGTCATCTTGGTTCCGTCACAGTATCTGGTCGTCATCTCGGTTCCCATGCACTGCCTGGCATGTGTCTGCATTGTGTGCTGCGTTGCTTTGTACTGCATGTTTGCATTGTTATGATATGTGTCGGGTCGTTCGAGGTGTAAGGGGGCCCCTAATTGGGCTTTGCAAGGCCGTCATTTGTTCCGCCCCGAACTCGGCGCAGGCGCAACTTTTCGGTTCGGACGGGGACGGACCCCCCCCCTTGCTTCGCCATTTCGCCGAGCGAGTTTTCGGGAACCCGCCACAGGAAGACGACGGTTTCATCGACCTGAGCACCGCGTGGCCCTTACGGACTGATCCAGCGGCAGCTGGCCTGGCGAGTGACGCGAGAACGCACAGGCGAAATGTGCGCAGCGACGCATATTGCTTATGACGGCCGAAGCGAGCTGATGTGAATGCATTCAGGTCTATGCTTGTTCGCTTTCCAGATGTCGATGCCTTCCGCGTTGCGATACGTTGGGCGAGTGTCATAGAAATGCCAATGCGAAATGTGCGCGGACACGCATATTGATTACGACGTTTGTGAATTGTGCGAAACAGCACCATCTTCAGTTGATCCTGTTACTCATCATTCCTCCTCTCGCCGTGCTTCCCCATCTTGCAGATGCCCCTTTTCTTGGACCCCTTTTGTCAACAACCCCTCCACCCCCCACCCCCGCTGCATTGCAATTGCATTGCATTGCAATCCCATTGCAGCGCATTGCATTGCATTGCGATCGCAGTGCATTGCATTGCACTGCATTTCGATCGCATTGCGTTGCATCGCACTGCAATCGCACTGCGTCGCATTGATTTGGAGAAAGAGGGATGGGTTGAAGAATTATTGTTGCATTCTGATTGTAATCATACTGTGATCCTGGCGGGTTCGGTAGGAGGAGGAGGAGGAGGAGGAGAAGGAGGAGGAACAGGAGCAGGAGGAAGAGGCGGAGGAGCAGCAGGAGGGTGAGGATGAGGAGGACGAGGATGAGGAGGGCGAAGAAGAGGATGAAGATGAGGAGGATGAGGGGGATGAGGATGCGGAGGAAGAAGAAGAGGATGAGGATGATGAGGATGAGGGGGATGAGGGTGAGGAGGATGAGGATGAGGAAGGGGAGCAACAACAGCAACAGCATCAGCATGGCAACGAAACCGTGCTATTCACAGTTTTTTTTGTGTGTGTGTGTGTGTGTGTGTGTGTGTGTGGTTTTTTTCGGTCAGGGAGGCAACCAAACACTGCTATTCACAATTTTTTGGGGGGGGTTCAGAGGTCCACAAGCATGGCCAGGGGGTGTTTTGGAACGCCAGAAACCAAACAAAAACTTGTGAATTGCAGCGCTTGGGGAGAGCATGGCCACCAAACACTGCTATTCACATGTTTTTTTGTTGTTTTGGTTTTTCTCGCGAACCGAAAAAAACCAAAAACACATGTGAATAGCATGGTTTCGTGGCCGTGCTCTCACCAAATACTGCTATTCACAGGTTTTTTTGGTTTTCTGGCAGACAAAAAAAAATGGTTTCGTGGCCATGCTCTCCCCAAGCACTGCAATTCACAAGTTGTTGTTTGGTTTCTGGCGTTCCACAACACCCCCTGGCCATGCTTGTGGATCTCTGGAAACCCAAAAAACCAAAACAACCTGTGAATAGCAGTGTTTGGTTGCCTCCTTGGCCGAAAAAAAACAAAAAACTGTGAACCGCATTTTTTTTGGGCGAAGGAAAAGGAGGAGGAAGAGGAGGAGGAGGAGTTAAGGAAGAGGAGGAAAGAAGGAGGAAGAGGAGGGCGAGGGAGGAGGGGAGGAGGAGGAGGAGGAGCAAACAATCAATGATCGTTTTGTGGTTTTGGTGGTTTGGGGGGTGCGGGGGGGGGGGGGGGCGACCATATATATATATAATATCATATATATATATACATACATACATATATACACATACATACATACATACATACATACATACATACATACATACATACATACATACATACATACATACATACATACATACATAGGCGCACGGCGACGGACCGGTCCCGGGGAGGACGGGCCGGGACGACTCCCAGGGGCCGTCGCATGGTCTGGTATCGGGGCCTTTGCCCCAAAACACCCGCTCCCGCGACCCTCGCCCCTGCGCGGTTCCCGGCCGTCGCGACCCCCCTCCCCAGTCAGGAGGGGGAAAACACACACAGACACAGTTAAACCGTCGATCGCCAGGAAGATATAGGAAAATACGGGAAGTGGGGGGGGGAAGGCGAAGATCCAAACCGAATATGGGGAAATATGGGGAGTCCTGTTCTGCTCTCTGTGTGTCTTCCTTTGTGTGTCCCTGGGCCCTCTTTTCCCCAGGGCCGGCTCTGCGCCCCGAGTCGCCGCGTGCTGACGGCCCTGCAGCCCCGCGAGGGCCCCGCGGGAGGCCGCGGCCAGAGGGCAGAAGTCAGGACGGAGGCGCTGCTCGGAGCCCTGGCGATGGAGGGGGGGTCCGAGGCGGCCGGGCGCTCTGGTGCGAGACAGCAGCTGCGCCTCCCCCTTCCCTTTGGCCCCTCCCCTGCCCCCCTCTCCCCCTTCCCCTCCCCTCTCCTCCCCTCCCCCTGTTTCCCTCCCTTTCCCCTCCGCCCTCCCCCCTCCTCGTTCTCATCCCCTCCCCTCCTCCCTCCCCCCTCCTCGCGCGCCGCCTCTCCCCCCGTGCGGCCACTGCGGCGCGAGGACCCCAGCCCCGCGCCGCCTGCTCGGCCAGCCGCCGCTGCAGGGCCATGGCGGCCGCCTGCGGCAAGTGGCACACGGCGCTGGTGCTGGACGACGGCGAGGCGCTCCTCTTCGGGAGGAACGACTACGGCCAGTGCGCTCTGCCCGCCGAGCGCCTGCGCGGCCGCAGGGTGACGCAGGCCGCCTGCGGCAGGAGGCACACGGCGCTGGTGCTGGACGACGGCGAGGCGCTCCTCTTCGGGGAGAACAACTTCGGCCAGTGCGCTCTGCCCGCCGAGCGCCTGCGCGGCCGCAGGGTGACGCAGGCCGCCTGCGGCTGGGACCACACGGCGCTGGTGCTGGACGACGGCGAGGCGCTCCTCTTCGGGGGGAACGCCTACGGCCAGTGCGCTCTGCCCGCCGAGCGCCTGCGCGGCCGCAGGGTGGCGCAGGCCGCCTGCGGCTGGGAGCACACGGCGCTGGTGCTGGACGACGGCGAGGCGCTCCTCTTCGGGTGGAACAACTACGGCCAGTGCGCTCTGCCCGCCGAGCGCCTGCGCGGCCGCAGGGTGACGCAGGCCGCCTGCGGAACAAGTAGTAAAAGGAGGAGGAGGAGGAGGAAGAACAGGAGGAGGAGGAGTAGCAGGAGCAGGAGGAGCAGGAGGGGGGTGGAAGGGCACCAGGCTGCGGCTGCTCCGGGGAGGTCGGCATTGTGATATCTGCACCGCTACTAACGGGTTGCAGGGGAATTGATGGGAGGTACCTTGATCAAGGGGGATGTTAGGATAGGAAGAGAGTATGGAGGACACGCCAGGAAAGGGCGTGGACGTCCTGGCTCCGAACGCATGTGGATCATTTTCCTCGTGACTCGCACCTTGAGCCAATGTTTCTGGACGACGCCGCGTCCGGAGCGGGAGGAGCGTCGCCGCCCTTCCCGCGCCCAGAGAATGCGGCGAGCCCATCGGCGCCCGTGTATCCTTATACACGTCTGCCTCACGCTGCGGCTCTTCGTCGCCACTGCTGTGCCGTCCAGATTTGCACGCCGAATTGCTCTCGGGCCTGCGGGCTTCCGTCCTCTCCCTTGTCGGTCGGTGTTCGCTCGTTCCCTCCCTTTGGCCTTTAGCCGCCCCTCTCCGTCGTCGCCGTCCCGTCGCGTCCCCGTCTGTCGTCGTCGTTGGCGCGCCTGTCTATCATGTACATGCACGCGTGCTCATGTAGCATTGGCCATCATCCCTCCTTGTGCGGGGGCCCGAAGAATGCGTCCACTCCGCGACTTCGGGGCCGTGGCACGTGAGACACCACGCCACCCAGGGTTGCCCTTCGCACGTTGTCTCTCTGTTTGTTTCTCATGCGCTGACGCCTATGAACATGTGTATAGCATGGGGCATCCCCCTGGTATGCGCAACCCGCCTTAATTCGGCCTCTGCTCCGCGGCTGCGGGGCCGTGGCCTTCAGGCCACTTCGCCGCCCAGGGAATCCCCTTGCAAGTAGTTAGATTTCCGACGTTTCTTGTTGCGTGCCTTGCCTTCGCGTCGTACCACGTGCTGGCGATTTTCCGCGCCCGCGTCGCCGGTGTGGCGCCGTCAGGTCGTGTCCTCCAGCAGCGTGCCGTTGCGCGTCGGAGCTTTTCCATTCCCTCCTCCCTTTCCCGCTTCCACTTTCGTGCGTGTCACCGCCGCCGTATTCGTGCACTATTGGTCTCGCGGCGTCGGGATCTCACGTCGTTTTGATGGCGCGTGCCGTCGTCTTGGAGATTTCTTCGACCAGTCGCTGGTCCCCGGCTCTTCTCCATCGAGCACGCAGCGCCTCGCCGAGTAGCCGAGGAGCGTGGCCGTGGCGAGCCTCTGCTTCTGCCTGCCCTGCCCGCCCTGCCCGAGCGTCGCTCCTCCCTCTCTCCGTCTCTGTTGTTCTCCTCCCCTCCCCTCCTACCTTGTCGCTCGTCGGCCTGTGCTGGCGTGACGGAGCCCCCTTTCACATGATCTGGGAAGTTGGCACTTTTTTTCATTGTCGGGCCTTCATGCGGATGGAACAAGCTACGCTGTGCCTCGCGCGCCACACAGCACGGCACGCACGAACCCAGAATGGTGAACGATGCAGCGATCATGTCACGAATTCTCGTGCAACGCCAGAGTCCCTCGGATGGGCTGGCATCCCCCAGACTGGGCGCATGGGCTATGGCCTCGAACGCCCAAGCGCTGTCCTGCGAACGTGGCCGAAGCTTGTGGCGGAAGCGCGGGCGATTAGTCATGTCTCGAGTTTACATTCGGCCCGCCGCGTCCACGTCGGAAAGGACGGAAGCCCTGTGAGTCAAATGGCTCGCTGGTGCACGGGGGCATCGGCAACGACTGAAAACACAATCGCGCAGCGACGGAGAACATGCAGAGACGGTGCCAACGCAGAAACAGAGGCAATATGTCTCGGACTCCGGCCAGCATCACCACGTTATGTGTTTAGACTCCTCTTGGGCCTGGCACCGATCGGAAAGATGAATGCCCGTTCTATCTTCGGTGCGAGTCGAGCGGATAGGATAGACGCGATCGCGCCTAGAGTGCCATCGGGGTCCTGAGACTGTTCGTTCGCTTATCCACGTCAGTCGACATGTGCATAGACAAAGTCTGACCTTGAAAGGAGACAGATCGGAAGACAGTTTTACCTCCGGGGAGTGCCCAACAAAGCTACAACGCATCGCCAATCCAAAGTAAGCCCCGCCATACACACGCAGCATGCACAGGGATTCGCAACGTCCAGCACATGCTGTAGACGGTCGCGCCTTCAAATCGCCGTTGTGGTGACGTTCGCCCGGCAGGCAGCCGGAAAGAGGAGGATTGCGATGCCATGAAAGACGGCAGTTGCGAAGACGATTAGTTCACCACCTCAGTGGGACTTGATGCGGGCTATTTCAGGCGCCGCGAAGACCTCTGTGAGGCCGTTGGCGCGTTGGTCCTCGCTGGCCGCATTCATGGAATCCAGCGTGCCCACCTCCAGTCTGGACCTCAGTGCCGCCGCCTGGTCAGCCAGGGTGCGCCGGCTGCTTCGGCCACGCTCGGCATTGACAGCCGCTCGCCCAGTGGACGCGCCGTTGTCTCGGCCCCCTCGAACATTAAGAGGCCCACGCTGAGCGCTGTGGCCATGCTGCGGGCGACCTGCGGCTGCTTCTGGCTGCGCCGGCTCACCAAGACGCCCCCGACGAACACAAGCCCAGATTGCGAGGTGTCCTCCTCGAAGCTGGCGCCCGCGTGCACGTCCAGTGTTCAATTCGGGCGGCCCTCGGCGCGGTCGGCTGGCCGAAACGGCGCGTCACAAGCACGTGGCGCATAATGTGCCGGCCCAGTTTTAGTGCCCAGGTTGGCGCGCGGCACGCGTGCGAGTTGAGGTGCGACACCGCGAAAGCGATGTTGGGTCGGCTGCGGGTCGACAACCGCAGCAGCCCGCCCCCACCTTCTGGGCCAGCTTGACCTCAGCCATGTCGTGTTCGTCATCCTGATTGCTGCGATTAGGTATGGGCTCGAAGACGACAATGCTGCAGGCGTTGCCGCCATGCAGCCACGACTTGGCCAGCAGGTCTTCGACGTACTAGCCATGGTACACCGCGAAATCGTCCGAGCGCGCCTCCACCTCCAAGCTCAAGTAAGCTTCCCAGGCGCGCCGAAGCCAATGCGCACCTGCGAGCTGCAGGCCCCAAATGTGTTCAACTTCGCCCCCACCGCGTCGATTACCCCGCCTGGATCGAACACCAAGAGGCGCCTGCGTGCATCACCAGCAGGCCGAGCAGCTCCCTGTCCGAGGCGAAGCAGTGGCTCTGGACCAGCTTGCACTCGCGGTCGCTGATCTCCACGCGCATGCCGCGCATGTCAGAATCTCGCTGCAGGCCCCCCCCCCCGTCCTCCCCGCCTTCCGCGCCTCTCTGCCTCCCTTCCACGGGGAGGGGAGTGGGATGGTCACGCGTGGTTCGGCGCGCGCCCTTCCCCTCCCCGTGTCCACTCCCTGGACGTGTCGTATCCCGATCTGGCGTCGGGTGGCCGAGCGCAAGGTTGAGGCCGAGCGCAAGGCGGAGGCCGATCGCAAGGCGTTCGGGGATGATGAGGAGGAGGAGGAGAAGGAGGAGGAGGAGGAGGGGGAGGTGGAGGAGGAGGAGGAGGAGGAGGAGGAGGAGGAGGAGGTAGAGGAGGAAGCTAACAAGGACAATGGAAACGGAGGGCGAGGAGGAGAGCGAGGATACGAGGAGGAGGAGGAGGAGGAGGAGGAGGAGGCGGGGGAGGAGGACGAGGAGCTGGAGGAGGAGCTGGAGGAGGAGGAGCTGGAGGAGGAGGAGGAGGAGCATGGAGATCGCTGAGCCACCAGCAAGAGGCGAGCTTTCGGCGCACAGGTGCTTATGCGGCGGGGGGAGGGCGCGATTGGCGACGGCGACGGGGGGAAGGGGCAAGAACAAACTCAGAAGATTATACTGACGCCTGTCGTTTGGCGAAGCCTTTGCTCCACTCGTCTCACGTGCATTTCCTTCTGATGCAGGCACGTGCTGGAGCCGCCCAGGAGGGTCTCTGGCAGCTTGCGGTGAGCTTCACCACTCGACTGGCGGTGCCGTCTGAAGACGCCAAGCTCACGTTCTCCCTGGGGCTCCGCCTCGGCTGCGGAGACCGATTGCGGATTGGATGAGGATTGAGGATCGGTGACTGGGATTCGACAGCCGAGGTTCCAGGATCAAGATGTTGACGAGGATCGAGGAGCGAGATTCGAGGGTCGAGGCGTGAGGCTCAAGTTTCGGGGATCGATGCTGGAGGTTTTGCGAGCATCGAGTGATATTTGAGCATCGACCAGAGCACGAGGATCAAGGATGAAGACTTTGAGCGGGGATCGAGGCTCGAGGATCGACAGGGGAGCGAGGAGCGAGGATTGCAGTTTACGCGAGGAGTGTGGAGCGAGGTTTCCAGGGTCGATGATAAGCATCGAGCATCGACGTTTTTGCAAGGAGTAGGAAACGAGCTTCGGGTATCGACGGGGAGGCGAGGCGAGGATCAAGAAACGAAGAACCAGGAACGAGGCGTTGGCATTGGGGGGATTCATGAAATAAGGAGGGGGTGCTCGCCAAGTGCGCAACGACAAGACAGCGGGCAGTGTGCCGGCAACGGCCGTCGCGACAAGCGCCAACAAGATGCACAGACGCATGCTTTTGTCCAGAGTTCCCCCCTGGCCTCTGGCGCCCCTCGTCGCCAAGGACGGGTCGCTGCCTCGATTCGCGGAGGGGCGCAGCGGCCCGTCCAGCAATTCCCCCCCAAGCTCGCGGGGGCCACCACCTCAGGCTCGGGGTGGGTGCGGCGCGCGGCGGTGGGGAGCTCTCGGGGCCGAGGCGCGGGACGGCCCGACCGCACCCCTCGGTCTGCCGAGGGCTGGCCGCAGGGGACGGCCCTTGGGGGGCGGCCGGATTCCGGCCGGCTGGGGCCGGCGCGGCGGGCGGGTGGCGGGTGACGTTCGGAAATCATAGGAGGGAATGCGTGCGTAGCACCTTTGCAGTTGTGGGCCAGTGTGAGGCGGCGGGCGCGGGGTGGGTCGCGGGCTGGGTCGCGGGCGGGTCGCGGGCGGATCGCGGGCGGGTCGCGGGCGAAGACGACGACAACGCAATAACAAGCAGAATCACCCGGATCCAGGGACACTGAATGACCGTTCGGCCCTTCCGCTCTCACCACCCCAGCCCCCGCAGCTGGCGTTTGCCTCGTAGCCCTGGGCGTTCACAAAGCAGCCCTGCCCTGTCCGACTTCCTCCCCAGATCCTCGACTCGTTTTTTTCAATCGCGGCGTTTTGCCGTGTCTTCGGCCTCTGGGGCCCGTTACAAGGGCCTGCATGGCCATCGGCAATGGGCCCAGGAAAACAGTTATATCCCCGGGCGACGCACGTTGGGACTTCACCTGGGGCCGCGCATGGTAAAAATCACAGTTGTCGGACGTCGGGGCAGAACACCGACCCCCTCGAGTGGCAGCCCCTCGCTCCGCTCCTGAGCGCGCCGGCGGGCGCCCTCGAGGGGGGGGCCTCGGGGGCGAGGGGCCTGCTCGCGGAAGGGGTCGGTCCGGCCGCGCCCGAGGGCCTCGACGACGCGGGGCCCGTGCAGCTGGCGCCGCCGCACCTGGACGGGGCCGCCCAGCGGCCTTCGGCGCCGCAGGCGTCCGGGGCGCCGCAGGCGTCCGGGGGGCAGGCGTCGCAGGCCTGGAGGTTAACACCAGCACCAGACATCGGCGGTGTGCCTCCACCGAGGGAGCCAGGCCCCGATCTCGGGGACGGTGGTCAGATTCTGGCTTCCAGGGCGACCGAGATATGACCAGCAACACCGAGATCTAGGGATGGTCTTCCCCCTGTGGAGGCGACCCCCTCCCCCTGTGTTGGCGTTGGTGCCGATTTCCAGGCCTCCACAGGCGCGCGCTGTGAAGACTGAGGGCTGGTGGCCGGGATACCGCCACTCTGTATTCGCAGCGATGAGGAACGCGATCGTGAAGGGTGCAGAGCACGTGTCGGTCATCGGAGTTCGCAGTGATGCCGTGCTCGGCTCTGCCACTGGGGAGGAGTTTCCAGCAATGATGCAGGAGTTCCGTGCGCACTACCGAAGATGCCTACGGCGAGCCACCGCCGCCCCATGCCTTCTAGAAGCGCCTGCGTCGTGAAATGTCAAGCGAAACTGCGGCCGCTGTAATGGACTTCGTGCTTGTTTCCGGCCATTGGGGGAGCCACTTGGGGAACGGGAGGTGTTGGGGCTATCTCGGGCTTCTTTTCTGACCTTGCGTCTCGGGCTGTCCTGGAGGCGTTTTTGGGTTATCCCAGGGCCCTTTTGGGCCGTCTTTGCCCCGTCCTGGGGGCCTCTAAATGGACTGCGCTGGGCGCTCTGAAGGCCGAAAAGGTGCCGACTCGAAGCTTCGAAACCATGCGTATGTCCGAGTTGGGGCTTCGTGGTTCGGTCTCCGAGGGCCTCCCAAGACGGCCCAAGAGACCCCGAACAGAGCTGTTTAGGCACTCTCTGGGCCACGTTGGGACTCGGGGCCATCCTGGCCATCCGGAGAGCGTATTGGAGGGAATCTGGGGCCGTCTTGGGCCGTCTTGGGAACCTTCTCGGGCCGTCCTTGGAGGCGACTCTTCAGATTTCGGAACTCTGTGCGGATGCGGCGCGACAGGCCGGTGGGCCCGAGGGGATTTATTGGAAGGAGGGCCGAGCGTTGTATTAAAGTTCTCCCCGCCAAGCACCCCTGGAACGAGTCACCTGAGGGGGGCGTCGGGTCGAAGACGCCTGCGGCGAACCACCGCGGCCCCCCTGCCTCTTGGAGAGACATTGGGGCCAGCTTGGGCTCTCTTGGGACCGCCTTGGCCGTCTTGGGGGCCATCGTTGACATCTTGGCCATCGTGGGCCACCTTGGGGCCGTTATTGAGGAGGAGACCTGTGAACGCCAGGCACCGCACATGAGCAGGTGGCGGCGGATCGCGTGGCAGTCCGCGCATGCCGCCACGATGCTTGGGTCGCGGACGAGGTGGCTCTCGGGGGCCTCCCGGGGGGGTCTTAGAGGACGTTTGTGTCCGTCTTGGACGCTCTGAAGACCCAGAAGCCGAGTGTGCTAAATCTTTGTGGGCCCCGGAAACGGCAGGGCCGTTTTTTTTACCGTTTCCAAGAAAATGCCCCTTGAAAATGGAAACGGCAAAAAAACGGCGACCGGAAACGGCAAAAAAACCGCTCCAGGATTGGAACCGGAGCCGGAACCGGTCAAACAACGACGACGGAACCGGTAAAAAAACGGCGTCGGAACTGGCGAAAAAACAGCAAAACGGAACCGGTAAAAAAACGGCCCTGTCGTTTGCAGGGCCCACTAAGTGCTAAATCAGGCCCGAAACCATGCTTCAGTAATTTGCGCCTCTTGGGCCAGCCCTTTCGAAGACGGCCCACGAGGCACCCAAGAGGGGGCCACAGCACCGCCCAGCAGGAGCATCTTAGAGCATATAGGTATTACATTCCCAAGAACCTTCCTTTCAAGAGAATTCGAATGGACCTGAGGACGCTTCACTCAGTGCCTACGGCACGGTGGCGGTTTTGGAAAAGAAGGAGCCGTTCTTTGCAAAGGGTGGTACAGTGAAGAAGCTGGATTGGGATTGCATCTCAGAGTTGCGAGTTCCGTTGAAGCATCTCGAGAAGACGCTCGAGCAACACACCGACAAGAGGAACAAGCGCGCGATCATCATCTCGGTGAACGAGCATGAGATGCAGGCCGTGGAAGAAGTCGTCCAGAAGCACAATGCAAAGGACGGCTTCACGGAGGTGGACGCGGCGTGGGCGGCCAAGGACGACGTGTACTGAGACAGGCCCTCGATCTTCGCCACGTGATCGTTATGTGATCAATTTTTCCCAACCCTCCTTGGTTGGGTATTCGTTTTGAATAGAGCAGTGTGGTCGCGTCCCTTCTCCCGCCCTTCCTCCTTTTCCCCTCCCGCCTCTTCCTGTCTTGCCCGCGGGGGGCTGCGATCTGTGAAACTGTCGCAATTTTCGAGGCCTGCTGGGGGGCCCAGCACAGTGAGGGCCACGGGCGGATCCAAATTAGACCTCGCCATCCCTGGGGGGCTGCGATCTGCGAAACTGTCGCCATTTTCGAGGCCTGCTGGGGGGCCCAGCACAGTGAGGGCCACGCGCGGATTCAAATTAGACCTCGCCATCCCTGGGGGGCTGCGATCTGCGAAACTGTCGCCATTTTCGAGGCCTGCTGGGGGGCCCAGCACAGTGAGGGCCACGCGCAGATTCAAATTAGACCTCGCCATCCCTGGGGGGCTGCGATCTGCGAAACTGTCGCCATTTTCGAGGCCTGCTGGGGGGCCCAGCACAGTGAGGGCCACGCGCGGATTCAAATTAGACCTCGCCATCCCTGGGGGGCTGCGATCTGCGAAACTGTCGCCATTTTCGAGGCCTGCTGGGGGGCCCAGCACAGTGAGGGCCACGCGCGGATTCAAATTAGACCTCGCCATCCCTGGGGGGCTGCGATCTGCGAAACTGTCGCCATTTTCGAGGCCTGCTGGGGGGCCCAGCACAGTGAGGGCCACGCGCGGATTCAAATTAGACCTCGCCATCCCTGGGGGGCTGCGATCTGCGAAACTGTCGCCATTTTCGAGGCCTGCTGGGGGGCCCAGCACAGTGAGGGCCACGCGCGGATTCAAATTAGACCTCGCCATCCCTGGGGGGCTGCGATCTGCGAAACTGTCGCCATTTTCGAGGCCGGCCTGCTGGGGGGCCCAGCACAGTGAGGGCCACGCGCGGATTCAAATTAGACCTCGCCATCCCTGGGGGGCTGCGATCTGTGAAACTGTCGCCATTTTCGAGGCCTGCTGGGGGGCCCAGCACAGTGAGGGCCACGCGCAGATTCAAATTAGACCTCGCCATCCCTGGGGGGCTGCGATCTGCGAAACTGTCGCCATTTTCGAGGCCTGCTGGGGGGCCCAGCACAGTGAGGGCCACGCGCAGATTCAAATTAGACCTCGCCATCCCTGGGGGGCTGCGATCTGCGAAACTGTCGCCATTTTCGAGGCCTGCTGGGGGGCCCAGCACAGTGAGGGCCACGCGCGGATTCAAATTAGACCTCGCCATCCCTGGGGGGCTGCGATCTGCGAAACTGTCGCCATTTTCGAGGCCTGCTGGGGGCCCAGCACAGTGAGGGCCACGCAGATTCAAATTAGACCTCGCCATCCCTGGGGGGCTGCGATCTGCTGAACCTGTCGCCACTTTCGAGGCCTGCTGTGATCCCCGTTTTCGAAGTGGCTAGGAGTGCTCAGGAATTGTAAATCATCAGCTTTATCAAGCCCTTTTCCTGTAGCCAGTGTCCTGCGAGTCTCCCGAATTCCGTCTGCAGACATATGTAACCCTCGCTCCGTCATCGCCCCCTTATAAAGTATCCTAAACTATTTGCGCCCCGCGTTTGCGCAGGGGTTGGTACGTCGCCAGGGTAATTTGGAGGAGAGGAGGAGGAGGCGGAGGAGGAGGAGGAGGCGGAGGAGGAGGAGGGGGAGGAGGAGGAGGAGGAGGAGGAGGAGGAGGAGGAGAAAAAGGGGGGGGGGAGGAGGAGGAGGATGAGGAGGAGGAGGAGGAGGAGGAGGAGGAGGGAGGAGGAGGAGGAGGGGGAGGGGGAGGGGGAGAGGGAGGAGGGGGAGGGGGAGGGGAGCGACATGCGAGCGTGCCGGTTCTGTCCGCATTCGGTTTCGCTAAATATCGCCGCGCGTCTCGCTGGACACGTTCGGACACGTCTGGACGTTACTTAGCTACCCCGCTGGGCTCCACTCGGAATCTGGTGCCGTGCGCACGTGGAGTTCCCCTCGCACCTTGCACTAAAGGGCGGTTTGTTGAAGGGTGTTCTGTCAATATTCGAATCCCCCCCCCAAAAAAAGAGCCCCAAATGCAGCCAAAACCGCAGTCACATCACTGCTTTCGGCCTCTTCGCCGAGGCCGTTTTGGACGTTCCAGCCCCTGGCGACCCCCCCCCATCTAGACCCAGGGAGAGGGGGGAAGGGGGAGGGAAGGGCAAACCCCTCCCCGAAGGGGAAGAAGGGGTGGGCGGGTGGAAGGAGAACCGCGGTGGGCCACTCGCGCCCTGAAGGGCTGGTGAGAGCTGCCGCGACGCCCGCGCGGCACGCTCCAGAGAGAAGAGGGGGCCTCGCCCTCGCGGGCCCGGAGGAGCTGGCCGCTCTTTTATCTCTCTCTCTCTCTCGGTCGGAGGAGGAGGAGGATGAGGAGGAGGAGGAGGAGGAGGAGGCGGCGGCGGCGGCGGAGGCGGAGGCGGAGGCGGAGGCGGAGGCGGAGGCGGAGGCGGAGGAGGCGGAGGCGGAGGCGGAGGCGGAGGCGGAGGCGGAGGCGGAGGCGGAGGCGGAGGCGAAGGCGGAGGCGGAGGCGAAGGCGGAGGCGGAGGCGGAGGAGGCGGAGGCGGAGGCGGAGGAGGCGGAGGAGGAGGCGGAGGAGACGGAGGAGGCGGAGGCGGATCAGGCAGAGGAGGAGGAGGAGGAGGAGGAGGAGGAGGAGGAGGAGCTCTCCCTCGGCGCCAGGCCGGCGGAAGGGGGGGGGGGGGGCGGGTCGCCCGTGGAGTGCGGGCAGCCCCCGCCGAAGGGGAAGGCTGAGGCGGAAGGCCGGAGCGGGGGGCCCTCTGCCCCGGGAGCTCTCGGGGCCCTCTGCCCTCTCGGTGGCCTCTCGGGGCCCTCTGCCCCGGGAGGGTGCGCCTTCCAGCCCTGCGCCCTCGGCGTGCTCTTGCCGCCCCGCCCTGCGGCGCGCTTCATTTTCCAGGGGATGCGCAGGTCGCTGCATTTCGGCCCGGATGGCCGCCCGGACCATAGAGCCCCGTCAGTGCAGTGGGGGCCCATGCCAAGAAACACCCTGCTTGCCTTCAGGGTGCCCTGGAATTCTTGGGTTTCCATGGTTTTGCGATGGAA